TTATTGCTTCTGTCAAACAGGCCTAATATTTAAAAACAAGTTGAGATAAATCAGGCAGCTTCAGGGAGTGGAACAGGAAGGATGTGCTTAAGAAAAAAAGTGGAGCCCCTCAAAAAATTCTATAGGGGCCAGGCACAGTGACTCATGCCTGTAATCCCAGCACTTTGGGAGGCCGAGGTGGGTGAATCATTTCAGTTCGGGAGTTTGAGAGCAGCCTGACCAACATGGAGAAACCCCGTCTCTACTAAAAATACAAAATTAGCCAGGTGTGGTGGCACATGCTTGTAATCCCAGCTACTCAGGAGGCTGAGGCAGGAGAATCGCTAGAACCTGGGAGGCAGAGGTTGCGGTGAGCCAAGATTTTGCCATTGTACTCCAGCCTGGGCAACAAGAGGGAAACTCAGTCCCCCCCCAAAAAAAAAAAATTCTATAGGGAGACAGCAGCCTTAATCTAGGTAATTCTTCATCTCGCCAATTCAGCCACAGCCTTTAAAGAGTGTTAATGGCTTTTTGGTTTGTAAACAAAAATGTTCCATGTGGTTGAAAGTTTGGAAGGAGATTCACCAATATCTGAGGAGAAGATAAAGTGAAGGGAATTTTTACTTTTTGCTTTATATCTTTCTATAATATTTAATTTTTTTGCTATAAGTATGGATCAAATAGCAAAATATAGAAAAATGCCAACCTTAGAAAAGACAATACATGCATGAAAGACATAAATGGGAAAAGAAAATAGATATTTATATTTTCCATTATGCTCTTTTAAAACCTATGTTTAGAACTTTATATCATGGGATCTATCTATATATACTTTTTAAATAAAATAAATTTTCTAAATAAAAATTTGAAAAAGATATCTTTTTTTAAGAGAAAGGAGTTGTAACCACTTATAGCCCTGGTATTTCTATAACTGCATTGGTGTAGTTTTGATTCTATTATGTCTCCATGAATTAATGAACCAAAATCACCACTCAGTCCCTAGGGGGCATAAATCTACAATAAAATCAGAAGAAAAGAAAAGGCCAGTCACAGTGGCTCACACCTCAGCACTTTGGGAGGCCAAGGCAGGAGGATCACTTAAGCCCAGGAGTTTAAGACTAGCCCTGGCAACATAGTGAGGCCCTCAACTCAACAACAACAAAAATTTAAAAATTAGCTGGACATAGTGGTGAACACCTGTAGTCCCAGCTACTTGGGAGGCTGAGGTGAGCTGGCTGCTTGAGCCCAGGAGTTCAAGATTACAGTGAGCTATGATCATGACACTGCACTCCAGCCTGGGCAACAGAGCAAGATCCTTTCTTGAAGCCACCTTTGCAAAAATTATACATGAGAAAATCATTACAGTGAAAAGCATCTGACCTAACCAACTCCATCTTGCTTCTAACCTCCAAGCTGTCCTTGTTCATTCCTGGGCATAAGCCAAACTAACCTTGGAAGGAACTTAGTTTACAGTTTAACTTTGAAACAAAGATGATAACGGCCTTTTCCCAAAACAACCCGTCTTCATCCCTGGGGATTAGACTGCCTTTGCAAGACTAACAAATTAGCTACAAGACAGAACTTATGGTTTAGGAGTCATGCATCTGGAGGCTGCCAGATTATGGGCCTCCCCAAATTGCTCCTGGGGATAACATCACTATTGTAAGACCTAAAATCAGTGCTTGAGATATTTTGCAGATCCTGCGCTTGATGATTCCACTAGCATCACTCAAGTCAATAAACTGGCTCATCTGGTCTTGTGGCCCTACCCCAGGAACTGAGTCAGCATAGGAGGACAGCTTCGACTCCCTATGATTTCATCTCTGACCCCACTAATAAGAAACTCCCCACTTTCTGATCCCCTACCCACCAAATTATCCTTAAAAATCACAATCCCTGACATTTCAAGGAGACTGATTTGAGTAATAAAACTCTGTTCTCCCATACAGCTGACTCTGCAAAAATTAAACTCTTTCTCTATTGTAATTCCCCTGTCTTGATAAATTGGCTCTGTCTAGGTAGCAGGCAAGGAGAACTCATTGGGTGGCTACAGTCTAAAAAAAAAGAAAGAAAGAAAGAAAAAGAAAAAAGAAAAAAATATTTAAGCATGGCATCATTATTTTTGTTGATGGTGAAAATACAAGGGTATGCACAGAAGACAAACAGTCCCCTGGCATAACAAAAGTCATTGAGTGAAGAGGACAGATTTCTCATCCGAGAATTAGCTAAAGATGCCAACTCCCTTCCCCTAGCCTCTTCAAAGTGCTAAGTCTCAACAAGAGGATTGATGCCTGGTTGAAGGTCTCTCTGGCTTCCTTTAGGACCACTGCAGGACCTGTGCCTTTGACCCACACCCACTCCTCATGTGTGACATTGTTTTTCTACTACGTGAGATATTTTCCACAATTATAAAAGATTCCATGCTCACATCCAGGGAACAGCCTTGGAGTCCTCCATTGTTGGAGTTTGTTCTACTGCCAAAGCAGAGAGGGAAGAAATAGCATATAACTGTGACTCTTCTCCCTTGGCACTATAAATATTTCCCCTTTTCTCATGCCAATTCATTTTTGTTTCCTTTTCTCTCTGCATGGTCTATAAAGAAAAATCTTTGCCTTGTAAGTGGAAAGCAAGAATATTAATTTCATAAATATAATATGATAGTTGTATAATAGTAGTAAGACAAAGAAGAGAGAAACAGAAGAGAAAGAGAATGAGTGGAGAGGGGAACAGAGAGAAGGAAAGAAGGAACGATTTCTGTGAAACCACCCAGAAGTTCTTCCAAGTTCTGCTTCTTAGTAAACTGTTCCTAGATTTAAGCAGGTGCGGGTAAATGAATAAACCTAACACTTGAGAGTTTCTAGTCTTAATGATCCCTTGAGGCTACTTTAAAGAAAGATAATTTTAAAGAACTGAACAATTTTTACATATATTAGAGTAATAAGAAAAGGTTGGAGCCTATTATGTAGAAATTGCCTAATTCTGGATTGGGTTAGAAGTAACATAAGTACTCAATAGTGACTATTGTAAATACTTTTTAAAATAATTCAGATAAGCACTACGTTAAAAATATGCAGAGTTTATCTTATTAGGTTGGTGCAAAAGTAATTGTGGTTTTTACCATTAAACATTAAACATAATGGCAAAAACCACAATTACTTTTGCACCAATCTAATAAAAATTATATATAAACAGCAATATACCTTAAATTTATTTTGATATTTCATCCTGTACATTTAGGAATTTTTGTTCTGAATTATTTACTGGCTTAGTTTTGTAGTTTTTAATTAAAAATTTTTAAATTATGGTAAAATATACATGCATCTATCATTCTAACTACTTTTAATTATACAATTCAGTGGCATTAAGTACATTCACATTGTTGTGTAGTTTTGCTTTTATTCAAAAAAAATTTTTTTTTGATAGGGAATCTCACTCTGTTGCCCAGGCTGGAGTGCAATTGTGCCATCTCAGCTCACTGCAACCTCTGCCTCCCGGGTTCAAGCGATTCTCCTGCCTCAGCCTCCTAAGTAGCTGGGACCACAGGCAGGCGCGACACCACGCCCAGCACCATGCTTGGCTAATTTTTGTATTTTTAGTAGAGGGGAGTTTCACCATGGTGGCCAGGCTGGTCTCGAACTCCCGACCTCAAGTAATTGATCTACCTGCCTCAGCTTCCCAAAGAACTGGGATTACAGGTGTGAGCCACCACATGTGGCCTGAATTTAAGTTTATTTTTTAAGTTAGTTTCTATTAGATTGAAAATTAAGATACAGATAATATTTCTATGACTATATTTTTACAGTTTATTGTTCATAACTACTGTGTATGAATGCATCAAGGTAACTACATGAAGTGGAACTGAAGCCTGAAGCTCACCCCTTGCTTATGATTGCGATAATGATTTTAAAGAACGCTGGAAGCTCAGTGAGTCACTGAATTAACCTACCCAGAATTTTTTTCTGTACAAATGTTTTCATTATATTGGAAAATTTTTCTTCAGGTGTTTTTACCCCCTTAAAAGTTTATCTTCCTTATAAACTACTTATATTCCATGCATGAACATAGCAGAAATGTAGCAGAACTGGGCAGTTCTAAACAAGATTTTTTTACACTGCAATAATCTGTGACCAACTAAAGCACTGCCCAAGTGTCAGACTCAGAATTCAAGTAAGTCAGACATGCTTTAGATAAGCAGTGCTTGCATTTAAGGTCGTTTGAAAACTCATTCAAGAGGTCACCTGTTTTCACTTAAACCCAGTTTAGCCTTATCGGCTAAAAAGCTTACATTTAGAAATAACATTGGACTGCAAGTCACGTATTCTTTGACCTTGAGCAAGACCTGTCAAATTGCTAGAAGGATCAGTTTTCTTATTTTCAAATTAATAAACTAATTAAATAGGCCAGGCTTGTAATCCCAGCACTTTGGGAGGCCGAGGCGGGTGGATCGCTTGAGCCCAGGAGTTCGAGACCAGCCTGGGCAACATGGAGAAACCTTGTCGCCACTATTAACAAAAACAGAAAAATTAGCCTGGTGTGGTGGTGCATTCCTGTGGTCCCAGCTACTCAGGAGGCTAATGTGGGAGAATCACCTGAGCTGGGGGAGTTCCAGGCTGCAATGAGCCGAGATTGCATCACTGCACTCCAGCCTCAGCCACAGAGCAAGACCCTATCTCAAAAAAAAGTTTTAAAAAATCAATTAAATAGAAAATATTTCACTATGTATCTCAATATCTTTAAGGTTCGTGGCTGAAGTGACTGGGCTTTATTATATACTAAGCCCAACTTCATAGACAATCACTTTGGCTTCCCTTCCAAAATTCTTTGCCTCAAAGCTATCGACAATTGAAGGCGGGCTTCTAACAGATCCAGCAGTCTTCATAGGCTGTCCTGGATCCCCTGGACTTGGACACGGTGCAGGCGAAGGAAAGGCCGAGGGGCAGAGGCGGGACCTAGAAGGCGGGGCTAGGAGGGCAGTGGGGCGGGACAGAACGGACTGAGTTACGTCATTTCCGCCTGCGACATTTCCTAGGAGTCAAGCGGCGCCGAGGCCAGCAGCAATTGGCAGGAGAAGGGAATAGTGTCGCCCCCTTTCAGCCGGTACTACTCGTCCGCTAGCCTTTATTGCCACTGGTTTGAGCCTTCCTTGTTTCAAGGCCCTAAAGAACCCATACCCTTGATATTCGTGCCCTATCCGTCTCCCTTAAGGACGTTTCCTTCCTCTAAAGTCCCGCAGCAAGGCCTCCACCTAGTTTACAATCCTGCCCGGGAGGAGCCCGTTCCTCAGAGCTTCCTTTACTCGCCTCGGTGAAATTGCGTCGGTATGATTGATAAGCCCTTGCTGCTCATATTGCGCGTTTACAGTTCCCCACTCCCCAGTCCTCCTCAAAGATAATGCTTCATCCACCTTCCCGCTGACCGGGAAGTACACTTTAACCTTTAGATTTTTATTCATTTCTTCCCCTTCCCCTCTCCCATTCCACCTAGGAAGTGGTTTTACGTCTTTTCATTTTTTGAGAGACGGAAAAGGGAAAGGCGTTTTTTAAAGGATAGGTTACTAGTTGTTTTTCGTCTTCTGCCCTCAGTATCAAGGACTACGGGTAAAAAGGAAAAGGGAAATTACGAAACTTACAAAGGTCACAAGAAACATTTGTTTATTTAATAAATTTAGTAGAGGAAACAAAACAGGAAGTATACCTGTTCCAATCCCAGCAAATTAAAAATTGTTTGCTGCTTTTAAAGTGAAATCCAGCATCCAAACACATCTTGTAGGCCTTTTTCCACGAAGAGTAAAAATAGACCAGTGAAAACATCATCTGTTATAATAAAAAGTTTTATTGACGGGATATAATAAGCTTGCAAAATCGTTATCTCAGAATCTACAAGTGGCACATGGGTGTAGTAAAATACTTAATTGCCTGAGGAGTTGTTTGATAGTATAGTTTATGTTTTCTTTGTTTTTGAGATGGAGTTTCGCTCTGTTGCCCAGACTGGAGTGCAGTGGCACGATCTCAGCTCACTGCAACCTCCGCCTCTTGGCTTCATGCGATTCTCCTGCGTCAGCCTCCCGAGTAGCTGGGACTATAGATGTGCGCCACCACAACCGGCTAATTTTTGTATTTTTAGTGGAGACAGGGTTTCGTCATGTTGGCCAGGCTGGTCTCGGACTCATGACCTCAGGTGATCCTCCCATCTTGGCCTCCCAAAGTGCTGGGATTACAGGTGTGAGCCACTGCGCCCAGCCTAATAGTACATTTTAGTATCTTAAAACTTATGAAATTTTCACATTGGTTAATTTATTTGAAGCATCGTTAATAACCACATAAAGTCAATCTTATTTCTTATCTGAAGCTATCAACAGTCCCACTCTCAGCTCCAGATGGTGTCCTCTTACACCTATTCAAAGGTTTTACACTTTAACTTACCCTTTTTTGCCTCTTTAAGTTCTGCTTCACTTTCATTTATCCCTCACTACTGGATGGTACGTTTTAACATGCTTTAGAATCTCTTTTTTTAAAAAACCTTTATCCATTCTCAGTCTGCAGCTGCACCCCAGTTTTCTGCTTCCTTATAGCACTCCAGAGAACTACTACCCTTCTTACTGTGTCAACTTTCCCACATCCTCAACCCACCCCAAGTTTCCTTCCCTGCTTACTCCACCGAAACTGTGCCTGTGTGTCACTAGTGACTATCTGTCCAAATCTCCTTTTTTTTTTTTTCCCCTATTTACTTGTCCTTGGAACCAATATTTGACACAATTGAATATGAAATTGTAGAACTTCATTGTTTATTTCTGAATTTATTTTGAGTGCTGGAATATATTTCCTCAATATTTTGTGTATTCATAAGTATATAGTGGTGGCATTTATGACACACTTTTTTGGAGTTTTCTAAACACTCTTGGAAAGAATATTAGAATACTTATTATAGTCCTAATATCTAATTTATGTTTAGTTTTTTACTTTTCTAAAATTTAGAATCAAGCATTCCCATAGAATGTGTATGGGTATAAATTGGAAACCATTTTTGAGGACAGTGTTGTCACAATATGAAGTTATATTGTATATATCTGAACTATATGCATATTGTGGGAAAAAAAAACAACACTGTGGGAGGCCAAGACGGTCAGATCACTTGAGGTCAGGAGTTCAAGAGCAGCCTGGCCGGCCGGGCGCGGTAGCTCAAGCCTGTAATCCCAGCACTGTGGGAGGCCGAGGCGGGTGGATCACGAGGTCAAGAGATCGAGACCATCCTGGTCAACATGGTGAAACCCTGTCTCTACTAAAACTACAAAAAATTAGCTGGGCATGGTGGCGCGTGCCTGTAATCCCAGCGACTCAGGAGGCTGGGGCAGGAGAATTGCCTGAACCCAGGAGGCGGAGGTTGCGGTGAGCCGAGATCGCGCCATTGCACTCCAGCCTGGGTAACAAGAGCGAAACTCCATCTCAAAAAAAAAAAAAAAAAAAAGAGCAGCCTGGCCAACGTGGCAAAACCTCATCTCTACTAAAAATACAAAAGTTGGCCAGGCATGTGGCTGAGATGCCCAGGAGGCAGAGGTTGCAGTGAGCCAAGATACTGCCACTGCATTCTGGCCTGGGCAACAGAGCAAGAGACCTTGTCTCAAAAAAAAAAGTTACAAATGTACACAAATATATGTGTAAGAATATTCATTTTGGAATTAGAAAAAAGGAACAGTCTGAATGTCCAATAATGGAGGAAAGAATAAGTAAATAGTGACATACCCAGTCTTAGAAATACTGTGCAACTATGAAAAAAAGGAGCAAGATCTATATGTATTAACATGGAAAAGTCTCCATAGGTTATTAAGGGAAAAAGAAAATATGTGTAGTTCGATCATGTTAATGCAAACAAATCTATATGTGTTAGTATGTATGTGTGTGTGTATACGTACAGACACATATACATGTTTTAAAATTTTAAATATATTAGAAAAGATCTGTAACAACACGTAACCATTGAAGAGAGAAGTGGGTTAGAAGAAGTCGAGGTGGGCAAGTTTTACTTTCTACTGCATAGTTCTGTATTGTTTGAATTTCTGTATTATTTATATGATAACTTTAAATGTAAACAAATCTAGACAGTATTATGAATAACTTTGGATTTCAAACAGTAATGAGCTGTTAAATAAGGAATAATATTTACAGATATCTCTAATGCTGTTTTTTAATTGTCCTGATTCTATGGTTATTTGTAGCTGATCAAAATAACTATATTCTGTATGTTGATCAGTGAAAAAGAACATGGACAAGAAAACATGAAAGTAATAAGTTGACCACTACATTTTAAAATTCATTATAATTATTTTTCTATTTTTTCTCACGTTTAAAAACTGAACTTGTGGTGTGATTTTTTTAAGTTATACTAAATCTCAGATGGCAAAGCTACCTTTTACATTTGTCTCTTTTAGTAGTATAGTGACAGTCTCCTTAAAAGTTATTAAAACTGATTCTCACAATATTTGCAAGGAAACCATTTTTTTCTTGAAGTGTCCTGAAATACAGATAAATTATATTCTCTATTTCTACCTGCTGCCTAGCAAGAGTATTTCTCAACATACTCTCCTTTGATCAAAATTAACAGGCTGGGCACGGTGGCTCATGCCTGTTATCCAGCACTTTGGGAGGTCAAGGAGGGTGAATTGCTTGAGGCCAGGAGTTTGAGACCAGCCTGGCCAACAGAGTAAAACTGTCTCTACTGAAAATACAAAAATTAGCCAAGCTTGGTGGCACACGCCTGTAATCCCAGCTACTCAGGAGGCTGAGACATGAGAGTCACTTGAACCCAGGAGGCAGAGGTTGCAATGAGCCGAGATGATGTCTATGTACTCCAGCCTGGGTGACAGAGCAAAACTGTGTCTAAAAAAAAAAAAAATTAACAAATCTTTTAGACCTGAAATATCATTCCTTATTCTCATTTGTGCTAATAGTTATTTTTAAATTAAGAGAATAATTGTACTTAAATATTACCTCAGTTTTCTAATTGGAATAATGTATATGAATAGTTTTTATTTTGGAAAATAGTTTGTATTACAGTAATAGATATGATTTATTGAGTGGCTATGGTGGGTCAGAAACTATACTAAATGCTTTACCTGTGTTATCTGAGTTAATCTTCACAATTCTGTGAGTTAGGTACAGTGAGTCCCCCTATTTTACAGGTGAATAACTTGAAGTTTGAGTGAGCTAAGTAACTTTTGTAAGCTCACACAGCTAAGGATGAAGTAGAATTTGTTGAGATTTAAACCCAGGTCTATCTTACTTCAGAGCCCAAAGACTTAACCTATTTCCCCATGCCTCCTGTATTATAAAGGCTATTTGTAGGGAAAGCAAAAAAAGACATAAGTTTTTTTCCATCCTTCTCCCAACTCTTAAAAATGTCAATTTAAAAAACAACAATTTATCAAATTAGGAAGAAAATACTGTTAGTTTTAAGCATCTGGATAACTTTAAACATCAAAAAGGAAAATCACAAACTGCGAAATATATAAATACATTTTTCATGTTTTTTAATGAATGGCATATCCTTTTTGACAGTTTTTCTGTTCAGCCTCTGTCTTTCTAAACATAACGTACACATTAGATGTGTGTTTTATGTTTAAATAGGTCAGGGCTTTGGGATTTGTAAAGCCTTACATGTTTTGCATTTTACATGCACCAGTTCAGATCAATTTTTATTATTTTTAGAGAGACAGGGTCTCATTCTGTGTCCCAGGCTGGAGTACAGGGATGTGATCATAGCTCACTGCAGCTTTGAACTCCTGGGCTCAAGCAATCCTCCTGTTTCAGCCTCCCAAGTAGCTAGGACTACAGTGTGTGCCACCCTGCCCAGCTTTTTGTTGTTGTTGTTGTAGAGATGGAGGTCTCACTGTATTGCCCAGGCTGGTGTTGAACTCCTGGCCTCAAGCATTCCTCCTCCCTTGGCCTCCCAAAACCATGGGATTACAGGCATGAGTCACTGTATTCAGCCCAGAATTTAAGCTTTTAAGCAAAATTTGTTCACTTTGAACTATGATAAAGCATCTCAGAACCATATTGCCACTGTCAGTGTAATTAGTAACATTAGTTATCCTGTGAAGTATTAATAACTCTAAGAGTAGGTAAAAATCCATGTTTCTCCCTGTATTCAGTGCATGACCTTTTTTTCCTTTCATATTTGATCATATAAGGTCTAATTTTAGGTTAGGGACCTGGGCAATTTTAGTGGTTGCAACTCTGTCTCTATGCATGTTAAGAAAGGTTTATTTGAAGTCATGCAACAGTGTATGTAAAAGTCAGTGACTTTCAAGATAAACTTGAATTCAATAACTGGCTTAATTACTTACTATTTGATCTTAGGCCTTTAAGCTTAGGCTTCTCATATCTAACACAAGCTATTTAGGGTTGTGGAATTGGAAAAAACAACATATTAAGTCATCAATAATTGGTGACCACCTTTGGCTGGGTGCAGTGGCTCATACATGTAGTCTCAGCACTTTCAAAGGCAGAGGCAGGAGGATCACTAGAGTACAGGAATTCAAGACCAGCCTGGGCAACATAGCAAGAACCTCTCTCTACAAAACATTTTAAAAATGAGCTGGGTGTGGTAGCATGTGCCTGTAGTCCCAGCTACTCAGGAGGGTAAGGCAGGAGGATCGATTGACCCTAAGAGTTCAAGGCTGTAGTGACCTATGATTCTGCCATGGCATTCTAGCCGAGGCAACAGAGACTCTTTTATTTTTATTATTTTGATATAAAATATTATTTTAATTGTTTTATTTATACAACTCTATTTAATTTTCATTGGGTTCTAGTGGTAGTTTTTTTTTTTTTTTTGAGAAGGAGTCTTGCTCTGTCACCACGCTGGAGTGCAGTGGCACAGTCTCGGCTCATTGCAACCTCCGCCTCCTGGGTTCAAGTGATTCTTCCGCCTCAGCCTCCCGAGTAACTGGGAACACAGGTGCATGCCACCACACCCGGCTAATTTTTTTTGTATTTTTAGTAGAGACGGGGTTTCACAGTGTTGGCCAGGATGGTCTCGATCTCTTGAGCTCGTGATCTGCCCGCCTCGGCCTCCCAAAGTGCTGGGATTACAGGCGTGAGCCACTGTGCCTGGCCTCTAGTGATAGTTTTATAATGGAGCACATAAAATTATTTTAGGCTGGGCGCAGTGGCTCATGCCTGTAATCCCAGCACTTTGGGAGGCCAAGCCAGGAGCAGTTTGACAGTAGCCTAGGCAACATAGCAAGACCCCATTTCTACAAAAAGAGGTAAAAAAAGAAAGCCAGGTGTAGTGGTGCATGCCTAGAGTAGCTGTTTAGGAGGCTAAGGTGAGAGGATCACTTGAGCCCAGCAGTTTGAGGCTGCAATGAGCTATGATCACACCACTGCACTCAAGCCTGGGTGACAGAGCAAGACTGTCACTAAAAATAAAATTATTTTAAATGTACCCTTTTTGCTCATTTTCTTTTAGGAATTTCAAATGCCTTGGAAAGAGGACTTAGAATTTGCAAAGCAGGATAAAGCTGCCAGAGTCATTCAGCAGGCCTGGAAAAGTTTCCTTGTAAGTTTATTTACAAGTTTTACTGAGATATAATTTTTATGTCATAAAATTTAAAGTGTACAGTTCAGTACTTTTTTTTTTTGACAGGATCTTGCTCTGTTGCCTAGGCTGTAGTGCAATAGCACAATCTCACCTCGCTGCAGCCTCTGCCCTTCATGCTCGAGCAGTTCTCCCACCGCAGCCTCCCAAATAGCTGGGATTACAGGCACACTATTACGCCTGGCTAATTTTTGTATTTTAGTAGGGACAGGGTTTCACCATGTTGGCCAGGCTGGTCCGAAACTCCTGACTTCAGGTGATCCACCCTCCTCAGCTTCCCAAAGTGCTAGGATTACAGGCGTGAGCCACCACCCTTGGCCAGTTAAGTACTTTTTATATAAAGTGTCCAATTCAGTAGCTTTTAGTATACTTGCAGAATTGTGTGCCACTCTTCACATTAAAAAGAAGACTTTTTAACGTTTCAAAAAGTTACAATTATTTCATTAGCTGCACAAATATTTATTGAGTTCCTGATCTGGGGCAGGCACTTTTATAATGGCTATCAATGAACGTATCATTAATAAGATTATTTGCCTTTCACCGCTAAACACTTTAGTTCTTGATTGAGGAACCAGTATTGTAAGCAGATGTTAGGACTATAGTCACTCATTAAATATTTATTGAATACTTATTCTTGAGGAGCTTAAAGTTTATTAGTACACTAAATCTGAGTTAATGTCGTGGTCACTTGTTGTGCTCCTATAAGGGTAGAGCTGTTCTTATATGTGTAAGGAATATTCCAAGTTGAATTACCTGGTTGGGTGAGAGCCAAGAGCTAAAATTACCTCACTCTTTTCTCTCTGATAGCAGCAATACTCTATCTGTGCCTGGTAATTTTAAGTGAAGTATTATGGGTCTGTTTCTAGCACATGCTGATACAAAGGTTTTATGGCTTACAAGACCACCTTTGTATCAGTTAATCACATTTTGTAAAGTTGCTTCATTATTTGCCTTTACCAAAGCCATAAAGGCTATGCTGAGGTATAACAATGTTAATTTCTAACACTAAAATAACATATATTTTTTAAAAATACAAGGGTCTCACTATTTTGCCCAGGATGGTCTCAAACTCCTGAGCTCAAGTGATCCTCCCACCTCAGCTTCCCAAGTAGCTCACCCTATGCCGAACACCATTGTATTGAACACCATTGTATCCAGCTAATCTTTTTTTAAAATTTACTCAGTTGGTTTTGATCAACATACTTATCATCTAGGATTACGCTTTTCTATCATTTGCAACTGTTTTCTTCCACATCCAACCAGCCACACACCTTTGACTAGCTGTTGTGTTCCTGGCATTGTGCTAGGCAATTTCACAATACATCCTTGCCCTTAAGGGAGCCTCAGTAGAGAAGTCATGTAAATAAAGGGGTGGGGTGTGTGTGTGTGTGTGTGTGTGTAGACTGAGGTCATATTTTCACCTATCCCTCAAGAACCTCATTGAAATGACACTATGTAATATAGAAGGGTAATCCATAACAAAGAGGAGGGGGATTCATCAGCAGGTAAAAATTTTATCTAATTTTTGGAAAACCGAAAATAGATGATAGCATCCTGTTGGAAAAACTGTAGAAACACTTGCCTAGACACATTTCATAGGCGTTCCAGTTTCCATTGAGGGAATTGGTTTGCCATTAGAACCCCAGAGAGGATATGAATTTGGAGTTAACAATTTAAAAGAGCTGGAAGGAGAAGGACTGAAGACAAGGAGGTTAATTGAAGGTCTGTACACGGAGCAGCTGTGCCAGTTGTCTTCAGTCTTTTGCAGATCAAGAGCTGCAAGTAGGTGGATATTTACTGGTAGTCTTGCTAAGTTGGGTTTATTATGTATTTTAGATATGAACCCCATATCTAATATATGATTTGCAATATTTTCTCCCATTCTGTAGGTTGTCTCTTCATTCTGTTGATTATTTCCTTGTCTGTGTAGAAGCTTTTTAATTTAATATAATCCCATTTACCTATTTTTACTTTTGTTGCCTGTATCTGGGGTTATATCCACAAAATTATTGCCCAGATCAGTGTCATGAAGCTTTTCCTCCATATTTTCTTCCAGTAGTTTTACAGTTTCAGGTCTTATATTTAAGTCTGTAATCTATTTTGTATTAATTTTTGTATATAGTATGAGATTGGAGTCTTAATTTCATTCTTCTACTTGGGGACATTCAATTTCCCCAGCATCATTTATTGAAGAGACCATCCTTTATTCATTGCATGCTCTTGGAATCTTTGTCAAAAATCAACCATAAGTGTATGGATTTATTTCTGTGCTCTCTATTCTGTTCCATTGGTCTACGTGTATGGTTATATGCTGGCATCACACTGTTTTGATTATTACAGCTTTATAGGGGATTTTGAAATCAGGTAGTATCGTGCTTTGTTTTGTTTTGTTTGTTAATGGGGTCTTTTGTCGCTCCATATGAATTTCAAAATTGTTTTTCCTATTTCTGTGAAAAGTGTCATTGGTATTTTGATAGGGATTGCATTGAATCTGCAAATTGCTTTGGGTGGTATGGACATTTTCACAATACTTTCCATTCTATGAACACAGAATAGCTTTCCATTTATTTGTGTCTTATTTGATGTTTTTTTATATCAGCATTTTATAGTTTTTAGTGTACAGATCTTTTGTGTCCTTGGTTAAATTTACTCCAGTATGTTTTTGGGGGGGATAAGTATGGTAAAAGGGATTGTTTCTTAATTTCTTTTTTGGATAGTTTGTTTTTAGTGTATAGAAACACCACTGATTTTTGTATGTTGAGTTTGTAACTTTACTAAATTTGCTCATTCTTTTTAAGAGTTTTTTGATAAAGTCGTTTTTTTTTTTTTTTAGATTTTTTTTTCAAAGACGAGGTTTTGTTGGTCAGGCTGGTCTTGAACTCCTGACCTCAGGTGATCCATCCTACCTTGGCCCCCAAAGTGCTTGGATTATAGGCGTGAGCCACCATGCCCGGCCTGATAAAGTCTTTAAGGTCTTCTATATATAAGATCATGTCATTTGCAAACAGAAGACAATTTAACATCTTCCTTTTTTTGATGTGTATATCTTTTATTTCTTTCTCTTTCCTAATTTCTCTGGCTGAGACTTCCAGTTCCATGCTGAATACAGGTGGTAAGCAGGGGCATCCTTGTTCTTGATCTTGAGGAGAAGCTTTCAACTTTTCACCATTGAGTATGATGTTAGCTATGGGCTTGTCATATGTGACCTTTAAAGACAAATTAAGGAATATAGTGAGACAAAAATGGAGACACAACATACCAAAACTTATGGGATGCAGCAGAGGCAATTCTAAAAGAGAATTTCATAGCAATAAATGTCTACATCACAAAACAAGATAGCTCCCAAACAACCTAATGTTACGCTTCAAGGAGCTAGAAACAGAAGAACAAATTAAGTTAGCAGAAGGAAGAAAATAAAGATTAGAGTAGAAGTAATTGAAATAAAAACTAGAAAAACAATAGAAACTAAGAGTTGGGTTTTTGAAGAGTTAAACAAAATTGCCAAATCTTTAACTACACTAACTAATAAAAAAGAAAATCAGGTGTGGTAGCACATGTCTGTAGTCCCAGCTACTTTGGAGGCTGAGGCAGTAGGATCATTTGAGCCCAGGAGTTTCAGTCCAGCCTGGGCAGGATAGTAAGACTACATCTCTAAAAATAAACAAATAAATAAAAATAAAATAAAATTTAAAAAAAACCAGAAGACTCAAATAAAATCACAAATGAAAGACAAGACATTACAACTAAAACTACAGAAATATAAAGGAAAATAAGAAACTACAATGAACAGTTACATGCCAATAAATAGGATAACTTAGAATAAATGGATAAATTCTTAGTTACATATAACCTCCCAAGAATAAATCATGAAGAAATAGAAAATGTGAAGAGACTAATAATGAGTAAGGAGGTTGGATCAGTAATAAAAAACCTCCTATCAAAGAAAAGTCCAGGATGGCTTCATAGTTGAATTCACTGATGGCTTTACTGTTGAATTCTACTAAACATTTAAAGAAAAAATAATAATCTGCCCTTTTCAAACTCTTTCAAAAAATTGAAGAGGAGAGCATACTTCTAACCTCATTTACAAAGCCAACATAACTTAGATACCAAGGCCAGACAAGGATGTTATAATAAAATTACAGGCTTATATCCCTGATGAACATAGATGAATAGGATCTTCAACTAAATACTAGCAAACTGAGTTTAACAGCACGTTAAAAGAATTATTCACCATGATCAAGTGAGATTTATCCTTTGTATGAAAAGTGATTCACCATATACAAATGTGATAGACCACATTAATAAAGGTTAAAAACCGTGTGATCACTGCAATAGATATTTCATATATTTTACAACACTTCTTATCTGAATAACATTTTATTTTATATTGATATAGCTACCCTACTGTTCTTTTGGTGGGTATCTTTACATGGCATCTTTTCCTATTCCTTCCTTTTCAGCTTTTTGTGTCCTTATCTTTAAATTATGTCTCTTGTAAACAAAATATAGCAGGTCTAACTTTGCATAACTCTAAGCAATCTTTATCTTTTAATTAGCATGTTTAGACCAGTTATGTTTATTGTGATTACTGTATTCATTGGGCTTAAGGCTACCACATTGCTTTTTGTTTTCTACTTGTCTGATCTGTTTTTTCCTGCATTTCTCCTTCCCTTTCCCTTTCTTTGTAGTAATTGAATATTGTTAGTTTGTCATTATTTTCTTTATTAATTTTTTAGTTATTTTGATTGATTAAAGATGCCATGAATTGTTTTCTATTTCTCCTATTCACAGGAGGTGGCGATATTTTCCCTTTCATCTAGGCTATTTTAGTTACTTGCTTTACCACTAAAACCAATAGATAGGACATGACATTCTGGAACCTCTTAGTCTAGGTCATAGAAAGCATTACAGTGTTCATGTCTGTGTCCTGACATGTTCATCTTGAGTGAGAACAGCCA